AGCTCCCTCCTTCCTCCCTTCCCACTCTCACCCTCCCTCCCTCTTCTCTACCCATACCCCTCCCCAAGTCCACTGATAGGGGAAGTCTTCCTACCCTTCCTTCTGATCCTAGTCTATCAGGTCTAATCAGGAGCAGCTGCATTGTCTTCCTCTGTGGTCTGGTAAGGCTGCTCACCTCTCAGGGGGAGGTGATCAAAGAGCAGGACAATCAGGTCATGTCAGAGACAGTCCCTGTTCCCATAACTATGGGACCCACTTGGACACTGAACTGCTATGGGCTACATCTGTGCAGGGGTTCTAGGTTATCTCCATAAATGGTCCTTAGTTGGAGTATTCGTCTCAGAAACGACCCCTGTGCCCAGATTTTCTGGTTCTGTTGCTTTCCTTGTGGAGCTCCTGTCCTCTCCAGGTCCTACCCACTTCTTTCATAAGATTCCCTGCACTCTGCCCAAAATTTGCTATAAGTCTCAGCATCTGGCTGCTTTTTAGTGTAAATTAAAGAAAAAAATATTCTTCTCTTGTATATTACATCCCGACTGTGAGTTTTCCTTCTCCCTCCCCTCCCAGACCCTCTCTATCTCCCTTCCACCAATGCACACCTCTTATTTCTTCAGAAAAGAGCTGGCCTCCCATGGATAATCAAACATGGCATATTAAGTTGCAGTAAGACTAAGCACATGCCTTTCTATGAAGGCTTGATGATAAAGAGGACACCCAGTAGGAGGAAAAGGGTCCTAATAACTGGCAAAGGAGTCAGAGACAGTCCCTGCTCCCACTGTTAGAAGTCCCACAAGAAGACCAAGCTACACAACCATAACATATATACAGAGGGCCGAGGTAAGTTCCATGCAGTCTCCCTGGTTGGTGTTCAGTCTCTATGAGCCTCTAATGAACCTAGGCTAGTTGATTTAGTGGTTTTTCTTGTGGTGTTCTTGAGACCCAGGGCTCCTACAATCTTTCCTCCCCATCTTCTGCAGAATTCTCAGAGCTCTGCCTAATGTTTGGTTGTGGGTCTGTGCATCTGTTTCCATCAGTTGCTAGATTGAGTCCTTTCTGATGACAGCTGGGATAGGCACCAATCTATGAGTGTGTGCAGGCTAATTTTATATCAACTTGACACAAACTAGAGTCATCAGAGAGGAGGGAGCCTCAATTTAGAAAATGCCTCCAGAAGCTCAGACTGTAGGCAAACCTGTAGGGCATTTTCTTAATTAGTGATTGATGGGGGAGGATCCAGCCCAATGTGGTAGTCCTGGTTTTATAAGAAAGCAGGCCAAGCAAGCCATGGGGAGCAAGCTAGTAAGCAGCACCTCTCCATGGATTCTGTATCAACTCCTTCCTCAAGGCTCCTGCCTTGCTTGAATTCCTGCAATCACTGCATTTGATGATGATATCTTATATGGAACTGTGAGTAAAAGAAACCATTTCCACCCCAAGTTGGTTTGGGTTATGGAATTTCATCACAGAAATAGTAACTCTAACTAAAACAGTAGGTTAAAAACTTAGTAAATTTTTTCCAGATATTGATAATTGGAAACTTGGTTTGTAATTTGTAGAAAAGTGTTCATGGTAGTTTGAATAGGAATGGCCCGCACCTAATATGTTTGAATGCTTAGTCATTAGGAAGTGGCACTGTTAGGAGGTGTGGTCTTGTTAAAGGAAGTGTGTTACTGGGGTGGGCTTTGTGTTTTTAGACACTTAAGCCAGACCCAGTGATTTCTTTTTTTTCCTGATGCCTTTGATCCAGATGTAGAGCTCTCAGCTACTCTCCAGCACCATGTCTTCCTGCATGCTGCCCTGGTTCTTATTATAACTGTGGACGAAACCTCTGAACTGTAAGCCAATACTGATTAAATGCTTTTCTTTGAGTTGCCATGGTCATGGTGTCTCTTCACAACAATAGAAACCCCAACTAAGAGAGTGCTCAATATGTTTTGTGTGATAAATATCTATATTTATGCTTATTTTAATTCATATCATCAGCTATAGTTGCCAGAATACACACCTAGATGTTGTCAAGTAGTACTGAAGTAAGAGAACACCCTCCATGAGTGGCTACAGCTATGTTATCTTTACCTATGTTATCAATACCAGAAACTTCCTCAATGAGAACATTAAAAGTTAGAAATAAAATTTCATTGAGAGGACTAATGCTCAAGGTGAGGAAATTGTCTAGAGGGCTTTCTCTGGCATTGTATTAGTAGGGCAAAGCTGAAATTCGAATAAGGCATATTGTTATCAGTACACAAAGAGTGTGTAATCAGCTTCTATTCTAACTGGATTCTGCGTCATCATTTTCCCTTTAAACACTGAGATGTGCTTCTAGGAACATAGTAGCAGGATGAGCAATCCAGAATTCTGTACCTTTAGAACTGGCAATGGGATGTAGCAGTAGGCACCTACTATGTGTTGGTAATAATAACACAAGGCATTTATTAGTATATTATATACTAATACCAATAATTACTTTTCTATCGTGTGCCAATCATGTTCTATGTGCTGTCAATCTCTTATAGTCTTCCAAAAAATCTTGAAAAGTCCAGAAAGCTTCATGAGGACTTGGAGTTTTGTATTGTGCTTGTTTTCTTGCTTCCTCAGACTGATAGATAAGCACTTGGCACCCAATGCCTGTAAAATGAGTCACTGAAATTTTACAAACAATGACATTGAAGTTCAGAGGACTTTGAGACTTGTTTAGCAGCTTGGAAGTTGTAGGTGGTAAGTCTGGGCTTAAAAATATCTGTTTGATCCTCAGGATGTTGTAAACCAAAGACAAAAAGACAGCAGCTCATCTGGCTTCTGTAGAGATGATGGCTCTGTGTGCTAGGGGTATGGAATAGTGACTGAGCACTCTGTTTTAAAATAAGATCTGGTGCTGAGAACTGGGCTACATTTTCATTTTCTTGATTATTCCTTCATGCTATGTAGTTAACACCCAAAGAAAATGAATATTTTGGTAACAAATCATATTTTATTTTCTTTTAAAAAACTTTTTATTGATTATCTGTGAATCTTATATCATGCACTCCAGTCCTGCTCATCCCCCACATCCACCCTTAACTCTTGCAACTTTTCCCCCCAAATAAAACACACTAAAACACACACACACACACACACACACACACACACACACACACACACACA